TATTTTATTGAGATGGGGTTTCACTATGTAATTCAGGATGGCCTCAAACTTTCAGTGATCCTCCTGCTTCAGCCTCCTGAGTTCTGGGATTACAGGTCTGTGCCACCATGCCTGGCAAAGCCTGTGTCATAGATGAGAACAACAAGCCTTAGAGAAATTACCTGACTTGTCAAAGATCACTAAGTTAGAGGGAATAAAGCAGAAGCCAGTATACTTGTTCTCAGGTTTCTTTTGTTTGTTTTGTTTTATTGAGCAGTTCTCACTATGAAGTCCAGGCTGGCCTTGACCTCACAGCAATCCCCCTGCCTCAGCCTGGCATGCTGGTTTGACAGGCATGGCCCACCATGCCCGGCTTCCTCTGATTCTAATTCCGTGTTGTCAAATACTCCCATCACTTCAGTGGTTAGTGTCTGAGTCAAGGCCAGTACCAGGAAGTCTTGCGTTTATTAGGACGACCGGAACATCTTATGTTCCTAACGCGCACGTGGGAACCGCTGACATTCTCTTCTCCCGCTGTCTGTCCCTGTGCTGGCGTAGGAGGCCATGAGGACGACAACAGAGGCTTCCCGAGCCTGTTCCACCTGGTGCAGGCGCAGGCCGGCTTCCACAAGGAGGTGCTGCGCGTGGCCCTGGAGGCGGCAGCTCCCTGACGGCTGCGGCCTCGGCCTCCCTGCTGGGGCTTCCCGGGAGGGGGAAACCCCAGCGGCCCACGATGAGATGGGGAGCGAGGAGCTGCGGCGGAGACGGTGAACCGTGGGCAACTGTCCTGGGCTGAGGTCGGGAGAGCGAGGGGACCGGGGCGTGCACGCTGGAGAACCAGGAAGCGGGAGGGCGCCCGCCTTTTGTTATCCAGCCGTTGACCCTGCTGGTGGGAAGAATTTTTTTTTTCTCCAGAGTTTATCATTTGCAGATTTATGCAAAAGCAAAGTTCTGGCTTTTCTCTTGGTTTCATTTTCTTCTCAGTGGAAGAATTCATCCATGGCGGGGCTGGAGGTACAGCCCTTTGGGTCACTGCCCTCATACCTCAGCACCCCTCACTCCCCCGCGCTCCCTTCCCTCTTCTCCCCATGGCCGCTTTGAAGAGCCTGCTACATGTATTTATCAAAGCACTGGCAATTACAGTTATTGATTAGAGGGAAAGGAAAAATAAAGTTAAAATGTTAATATAGTGACTATTTTGAAGATTTTACTAAATATATAGAAAGATCTTAGAGAAAGAAAATTGGTATTAGGAAGTTTCCTTAAATTTGCCAAGTCTCTGAGACACTCATTTTCAGCACTCATTTTATGGAGGAAGGGTGGCTTAACTTACTTTTTTTTTTTTTAATTTATTCTTGAAACAGGGTCTCTCTCTGCAGTTCAGGCTGGCCTTGAGCTCACTTTGTAGCCCAGGCTGGTCTTGAACTCACAACGATCCTCCTGCCTCAGCCTCCCCAGTGCCGGGATTACAGGTGTGTACCACCACGCCTGGCTAACTTACTTTTGTTGTTGTCTGAGACAGGGCCTCGCTCAAGAGTCCAGGCTGGCCTTTAGCTCGAAGCAACCCTCTTGCCTCAGCCTCCTGAGGACTAGCCTTACAGGTGTGCGCCACCACGACCACTGGCTTAATTTAAAACTCCTCTGTTATAAATTTCTTTTTCAGTGTTGAGTATTGAACCCAGGACCCTATGCGTACACAGCAATGCCGTGCCACTGAGCTATGTCCACAGCCCACTTGATATAAATTTTGAATCTTGCACCCTTGAATTGGCAGAGTTTGCTGCTGTAAATTATTTTAAATTCACATTCTTTTATAACTTTCAGTAATTGCGACAGTGTTATCTTTCCCTCCTCAGAAATTTGGATGAAAAATATAATTTTTTGTTTTGCATGTTTGCAGCCTTGAGAACTGAACCCAGGGCCTTGCACACACAGCAAGTGCACTGTCGCTGGCCCACACCCCAGTCCCAAGTTCTCTGGATGTGACGGACAAACGCTTTCATCTTACTCCCTCTGAGAAGGAAGCTGACAAATTATTTTTAAATATTAATAGATACCACATTTGTAACCAAGTTTGCGTTTTCTCCAGTTCACTGGCCCACTTTTGCTGAACACATTTGTCATGAGGGATAAAGAGTTGGGTCCGGGCTGACAGTGGAGTTAACGTGCAAGTACAGGTCTCACTGTCGTCAGCACTGCCATTAGTCACACTGCCACCGAAAGGGGTGTGTGCCACGGACAGCCTGCAACACCAGGCGGCTGTCGCAGACTCCAGAGCGGCCATAATGCTAACTGCTCGGGCCGGTTAGCCCTGCCCCACCCCCATTTTTTCCCTTTTCTGGCTTTTCCTTCTTTACAGAAGTGGGCATCAAATCCAGGGACTCACACATCCAGACAAGCATGCTACCACAAAGTGACATCCCCACCCTCAGCCTGCCTGTTTTTCTAAATCAGAAGCTAGGTCTCCATTAGCAGCCTGGGCTTCCAGCACTTCTTTTCCCTGGTCTAGAGGTTTCCCAGCCAGCTTTGAGTTGGGTATGTGGTATGCTTTTTACTTCACTAGAGGACAACTTCAATAGCATGTCATTATATTTATCTTTATTATTACCAGCAGCAGCAGCATCATTATTTTGTTTGAGATGGAGCCTCACTTTTTTTTTTTTTTTTGGCAGGGGCCTGGATCTTGCTTTATAGTTCAGGCTGGCCTCAAACTCACTATGTAGCCCAGGCTGGCCACAAACTCATGGTGATCCCCTGCCTCAGCCTCCCAAGTGCTAGGATGACAGGAGTGCACCACCATGCCCAGCTGATTACAGATTTTTATGACAATAAATATTGTAAAGGGGCTGGGCACGGTGGTACACTCAGGAGGCCAAGGCAAGAGAATCGCTACACGTTCAAAGCCAGCCTGAACTACACAGCGAGACTCTGTCTCAAAAAACCAGAATAGATATACATACTGTAAAGAGTAGAAATAAAGTGCTAAAAAGCCGGCTTGGTTACTGGATACCTTATGAGTAATGTGACTTTAGTGGCAATTCTACCAGCAGGTAGCTGGGAAGCCTGACAGAAGTCAGGGACAAACATTTTTTGGGTTATTGACACATCACTAGGACAAGAAAGATGACTTGAAAGGCAGCTGAATTGGACAGTGTCTCCCAGATTAAAAACAAAAAGCGCCACAGGACTAAGAACACTTTTTTTTTTTTTTTTTTTTTCAAGAAAATGTAACTCTAGAAAATCTGTCAAAAAAATAAAGACCTAAGAAGACTTTTTCAGCCAGGTGTGGTGGTGCACACCTGTAATCCCAGCATTCGGGAGGCTGAGACAGGAGGATCGTTTCGAGTCCCAGGCTAGCCTGGGCTACACAGTGAGCTCAAGACCAGTCTGAATTGCATAGTGAGACCCTGTCTAAAAAAGGCAAAAAAAAAAAGACTTGTTCAGCCTTTGAAAGATCTTAAATTTTAAGAAGAATGCTTGTGATATTCTAAGATCATTGCTTTCTTTTTATTTTTAGTTTTACTTCACTTTATCTTAGTTTGTTTTTGTTTGAGGCCGCATCTCAGGAAGTTTCTCAGGAAGCTGAGTCCCCCACTCCCCCCAGCACTGGGCCTCAGATCTGCGGCATCTGCCCCAAAGTGAAATGTGCACGGGTATTCCGCAATGCTGTGCAGCTGGTAAACATCTTTGATACCTCATATTTAATATTTGCTACATTTTATTGCTTTATTTAGATTAATAAAAGTAATTTGCAATTGGAAATACTTCTAGTTTGTTCAGTTTGTCATTAGGTAAGTCATTGAGTTTCTTGTGGGGGAAATTATTTTTAAACTATTAATTATAGCTCTACCATGATAAAAAAAAGTTGTCTTTTTTTTGGTCTTTTTGAGACAGGGTCTTGCTCTGCAGTTCAGGTGGGCTTTGAGCTCACTTTGTAGCTCAGGCTGGTCTCAAACGCACAACAATCCTCCTGCCTCAGCCTCCCGAGTGCTGGGATTATAGGCGTGCACCACTACATCTGGCTTGTTTTGTTTTTTGAGCCAGGGAAGCATTGTGCAGTGCAGGCTGACCTCAGAATCACAGGGACCCTCCTGTCTCGACCCACCAGGGGGCTGGGATTGCAGGCCTGCACCACCACAGCAAACCTTGTCTTTTTCTCATTTCGTGCTGAGGGTTAAATCCAGGGTCTCACAAATGGAAGGCCCAAGCTCTCCTGCTGAGCTGTACCTCTAGCCCCATCAACTGCCCTTAATAATAATGTTTTTGGGTTTTGTTGCTTGTTTGTTTTTGTTTTATTTCTGTCTTTTTGAGACAGGGTCTCGCTATGCAGTTCAGGCTGGCCTTGAGCTCACTTTGTAGCCCAGGCTGGTCTCGAACTCAAAACGATCCTCCTGCCTCAGCCTCCCCTAGTGCTGGGATTACAAGCGTGCACCACCACACCTGACTAACAGTGTTTTTCTTGTCCAGAGTCTTTATTTTATTTTATTTATTTGAGTGTGCAGGCCCAGGCTGGCCTCAAACTCATGGTGATCCTTCTGCCTCAACCTCCTGTGTAGCTGGGACAATGACAGGCATACACCACCAACTTTTCTTTCTTTTGTCTTTTTGAGACAGGGTCTCACTATGCAGTTCAGGCTGGCCTTGAGCTCACTTTGTAACCCAGGCTGGTCTCAAACTCCCAGCGATCCTCCTGCCTCAGCCTCCCAAGTGCTGGGATTACAGGCACGCACCACCGTGACTGGCTCACCACGCTCTTAATATGCAAGATTTCCATTTTAGTTGTGACATATAATGCTTCAATTTTATTTGTTTTTGAAACATAATTGAACACAATATTATTACAAAAAACTTAATCTTCCTCCTTGTCTAAGCTAGAAAAGAAAATCAAACAATTATGACAAACTTCTCAAAGGAACAGACAATACCCTAAATATAGTTTCTCGAAATACATAGTTTCTTCAACTTTAATTGGACAGGGAAATACTTTGGCAGTTTTTTGCCACAAAAAGAACATTTGACAACAACAACAACAAAAAAAAAATCCCACTCACTTTGGGATGAGAAATTCCTTCTCAAATCAGCATGGCCATTTTGTTTCAATAATTTGTCTTTTCCTGCGCCGGGACCAACCCAGGCCTTGCGCGCCCAGCCCGGCGCTCCCCGCCCCGCCCACTCCCTCGCTCACATTTAGGTGCAGATGACCGACGGCCGGGATCGTCCTCACCCTGGCGGGAGAGGCTGGGAGACACGTGGCGGGCGGAGGGGGCGCGAGGACACAGCTTCCAGCTGGAGCCGCGAGCTTCCGCGCTGCGCTGCGTCCGCGGGGCCCCGCGTGACCCGGGAGGCCTCGACCCTGCGGTGCCCGCGCCGGGCCCTGCTGTCCCCAGCGCCGCTGCCTCCGTCGCTCCAAGGCCCGGGCTGGCCCGGGCGCGCGGGGTCCGGAAGGCGCGGGGAGAAGTCGGCGGCCTCGGCGCCCGGAGCCGGCGCTGCGGGAAAGCGCAAACAAGCTCACGCGGCGCGGCGGCCAGGCACCCCCGCCCCGGCTAGGAGCGGAGTCCAGCGCTCCCCGTCCTCCTCGCCAAAGCCCGCGGCTGGGACCCGCCCCACCCGCCTCCAGGCAACTTCGCCCCGCGGAAGGAGAGCAAGTCCCGAACGAGCTCGCTCCTGCAGCCCCGCTGGCACGGGCGCAAGCCACCCGCTGCCTACGAGACGCGTTTTACCTGCAGCCGCCCGGCCCGCCGACGCTCACCCGCGCGCCCACCTCGGGCCGCACCTTGGAGACGGACGGTCGCTCTCCGCGCGGCGCTCCATCCTCCCGACGATCCCGGGTGGGGGGCTTCCTCCTCCACTGGAAATCAGGTCCCAAAGAAGGAGGCCTGCATGTCTCATTCTTCTCAGAGTAGCCCAAGAGACGCTACATCAGCACGCGTGAGAAATAAATAGGAAAACAAGCTCTCCTTTCACTTGGCTTTCGAATCAATACCCGAAATAATGGCCGGAAGCACAAATCCGCCGGAGCTCGGCCCTGCAGCCCCATCCCTCCCAGGCCCTAGAGCAGGTAGATGATGTAGGAGAGAACGACCAGGCCTATGATGGCGAAGAACATCAAGATGAAAATATCCAGCATCGTGCAGTCCCCGGCCCTGGAGGCCCTGGATCCTGGGGAGTCGGGCGCCGTGAGCAGAGGCCGCTGTCGCCGCCGAGATGGCTCCTCTTCCCCTCCCCGGGGAGACCAAGGATGCTGCGGTCCATCCGCGCCCCGCCCCGCCCCAGCAGCCAATCACGAGGCGGGAGTGGTAACCAGGGCGCTGTGCTTTGGACCAGGCCGCCCTAAGCGGCTGGGCGTCTGCCTGGAAACCAGGCCTGCCTCGTGGTGTGGAAACACTGTCTGCACCTCCGTGCCCAGCATCTGCCAGGGAGGTGGGCAGGGAAGGACTCAACTCGCCCAGGTACCCCGGGTGAACGCATTCTCCCGCCTGCTGTTCTTCTTCCCTTTTCCTTTCTTTGACAAATTATATCAGAAAGATAACACCTGGCAGCTGGGTGGACCATTGGCAAGATCAGATCCAAAGGTCCTGTCTGGGGGGATGTGGGCAACGGTCTCATGTGGGTTGCAGGTGGCATCGCTGGGGATGGAGCCAGTGTTTATAGGGTGCTGTACTGTGTCCGCAGGGAGCTGCACATGCAGCGGGGGCGGGGGAGGGGGTCCCTTAATGTCCCACCCACCGGAGCTTGGACCCCCAGCCTGGCGGGGGGAGCAAGTGTCTAGAACACAGATCCAAGTGGTTTTTTCTGAGGGAAAAGCAACCAATATCTCATTCTTTTTAAAGACGCAGTTATGTCTTCCATGGCTTTGTGCCTTCTGTAAGTTTCAATTATTTTGTATTACATTTCCCTGGCCATCTCTGAGGCCTGGTCTCCTTGGCCTCACCTCAAACAGCTGCTTTTTGTTTTGTTTTTTGTCTTTTTGAGGCAGGGTCTCATGCAGTTCAGGCTGGCCTTGAGTTCACTTTGTAGCTCAGGCTGGTCTTGAACTCGCAACGATCCTCCTGCCTCAGCCTCCCAAGTGCTGGGATTACAGGCGTGCGCCGCCAAGCCCGGCCTATTTTGCTTTTGAGACAGGGTCTCCCTATATAGTTCAGGCTGTCCTTGAACTCTGGCAATCCTCCTGCCTCAGCCTCCTCATTGCTGGGATTATAGGCATGCCCCACCACACTAGGCCTCCAAAGAGCTGCTCTGAAGGGCCTGGGTTAAAACATTAAGAAATCCGCATACACACATGCAGTGCTAGGCCTCAGGAGCCCAGGCCACTTCCCAGAGTGGGTCAGGAACTCCTCCCACTGGCCCAGGTGTCCCCAGGAGGCAGAGACTGAGGCTTTGGGACAGGGGGTGGAGATGGCACTGGCAGCAATGTCCTCCCAAGTCCTCTGCCCCTTCCAGCCCTCCGAAGTTGTGGGAGGTCTTAGGAAGCGGGGTGCCACCCGTCCTTCCTCCGGGGCGGGGCAGGCAGCTGGCTCCTGGGCCTTCTTTGGGCGAGGGCCACCTCTGCTCCTCCCTCTGCCCCAGCTCTGGGGACTGTGGTCCTGGCACTCTGATCATGCCCAGCTCAGAGAAGCCCTTGCTCTCTGCCTCCTGCAGCCAGCAGCCAGCAGAGAGGGCCAGAGAGGAAATGCCCCTCCCCAAGGCGGCAGAGCCAGGGGCTGGGGTCTCTGCTCTACTGCCACCCTCGTCAGAGGCTGCAGTCACAGACCCTGGGCACCTGGAGCCATGCAAAGCACAGGTGACTCCTAGAGGGCTACACCTGCCGGGGAGGGCCCAGGCCTACAACCTGATAGCCTGCGTTACCCTGGGGAAGAAGGCCCAGCCCTGCCACAAGCCATGCGGCTTTCACGGAGCTGTCTGGGTAAGATGGGTATCAGGCAGCACTTCCCTCATGGGGCTGCTAGGGAGATGGAAGGATAACGTTGTTGTGTGGTGGCGCACGCCTGTAATCTCAACACTTGGGAGGCGGAGGCAGGAGGATCGCCAAGAGTTTGAGGCCAGCCTGGGCTACACAGTGCGTTTAAGGCCAGCCTGGACTACACAGTGATGAGACCCTGCCTCAAAAAATAAAAACAGATCACACTGCCAAGGCTGCCTTGGGCGGCCAGATCAAGGACAGACAGGTTCATCCACCACGGCTGTCCCAGGCTGTCCCTTCACTCCCCAGACACACTCTGAGCTCCAGCTTTCCCCACAGGGGCACAGGATGGGAGGGCACCCCAGCGAGCTTGCTCAGTCCCAGCCACGGACAGGTGACAGGGAGCGAGGGACAAACTCAGCCTGCCACCTCCTGAGGGCAGCGGCAATAGGCAGGCAGCTCCCAGCTAAGCCTGACGGGGAGGGGCCGCGAGCTTGGGGAGCGTCACCCTGAGTTACCGAGCTGGGCGGGCAGGGGTGGTGAGTGTCCGGGTGCAGCCTGGGGCAGAGGTTCCCAAGGAGGAAGCAGCTGCCAGGGATGGGGGCAGAGGCCGCACCATCCCCCTTGCTTGTAGACTGGCTTTTTTCTTTGCATGGCTCCCGGGGGTGACGAGCCCACTTCCCCAAGTGCACAGAACACATCCCACAGCACCCAGAGCCACAGAGGAAACCAAGTCCGCAGTAAAAATTATACTTTTATTTGAGTCACCAGGAGAAAGATTCACTTGTGGTTCAAGTCAAATGTTCAAAATCATAACAGGCCCGAAAGATCGGATTTGGAGCACAAGCCCACAAGGGAGGGACCAAACAGACCGAAAGGGACGACAACCCCATATAAAAAGACGAGCGGCGCTTCACACACACACAGACGATGAAATGCTTGGACAGAGGCAGATCTCACAGGGTCACTTGTTTCTTTTTAAATACAGGCTTGTGGGATGGGGCTGTTCTGTTTTTTCCAGCTATAAAAAAATAAAAAAAAAAAAAAGGCCCAAAAGTGCATTATGTGAAAGAAAAAAGGCAGAAATGAAGCACTAAAGTTTTCCCTGGAGGGGTGAGAGGGAAGCCGGAAACGGTATTGGGAGAGCCCACGGGTGCACCGTGGGGGATTGGTCCCGAAAGTCATGGTCACATTCTAGCTCCAGGCCTCCTGGGTCCCGGATGAGAGTAGCTAAAAGACCTCTGCCCAAGAAGACCAGGGCTCCGCCCAGCCCGAGATTGTGTGCTTAGGGTGGATGGTTCCGGGCCGGGCCCTGGGTCCTCCAGCACCAGGGACAGCCCCTCCTCTCTGCAGGCGCACACGCCCCCTTCCAGGACAGGGAATAGAGGGAACAGCTGCTTGTCTTGATTAGGAAGGGAAGTTTGGGGGTCGCCAGCCCCTCTGGTCCCTCAGGAGGGAGGTGCCCCCCGACCCTCGACAAGACACATCCTGGGCCTCTGGTCCCCAGATCCACATTGTGCTTTGAGATCAAGAGGAAATGGAACAGACCAGAGTTTCCCCTCTGTCGCCTCTGCCCCCCAAACTGACCAAGAGGACACAGCCCCCGCTGCAAAGCCCCAGGGTAACGCCAGCTGCCCACCCGTGGACCGGGGCGCTTGAGGCAGGCATCCGCTGTGGGGCTGAGCGCGTGGGGGGCCCCGCGCTGATCCCCAGCACCAGGTGCCAGCTGTGGTCGGACTCCAGGTAAAACTGGACAGAGACCCAGGGGAGCGACGAGACTTGAGATGAACAAAGCCAGGAGAAGAGCGTCCCGGCCCGGGTGCGAAGAGGGACCCTCGGCATAGCACCATCTTCCTGTCTCTCCCCGAAATCTGCTTCCGGTTCTGGAGCCCTCCGCCCCACCTTGCTACACGGGAGGCTTGGGCAGGGAATTGGTCCAAGGTGCCACTGGCACGGGTGAGTCTGGTCCTTCAGGACCCAGGAAGAGGACACGCCTATGGCCAGGTGGACCTCCTCCCCCCCCCCCCGGGTGCCCAGGACACCACTCACCCTGCCCCTGTGGGTCCTCACCTGTCACCCACCCACCCCATGCGTCACCTTGGAGACACCAAGGTCCCTGCCGGCTGCTGGAAGCTCTGGGCTTTCGTGGTGCTGGGCAGGGGAGGGGAGGCCGGGGGCGTCCCCAGAGGACTGGGAACAGGCAGGAGAAGGGGGCTGTGGGGGCAGCTCAGCGCCCCTCTTCCTGCAGCTGCGCCAGAAACCTGACCCCGAGCCGCCTGCCCAGCCGCTCTCTGGGCAGCAGGCGAACTCTCAGGGGAGGAGGAAGACCTGCGGGGGCGGGCGCTGCTCCCCGGTCACCCCGAGGGTGGCGGAGGGTAGGAGGGTGCACCCTAGTCGCAGCAGCCCCCTTGGCGAGGAAGGGAGGGACGGCCCACCTCGGGGTCTCCGCCAGGGGACGAATGGATGGAGCCTGGGGCTGGAGGACAGGCGGGTGGCCCAGGGCGGGAAAGGCGACCTCGGGTGGCATCGTCCCAGCCCCGCTCTCATCCAGAGAGAGAAAACCAAGAAGTCGGTCGAGGGAGACTGGCCACAGAGGGAGCCACTACGGTGGCAGAACAAGGCCGAAGCAGCTGGAAGAGGGGCGGGGACAAACAAGCTGTTGCAGATCTTAACAGACAGACATGGAAGGCGACGGTTGCCAGGGGGACGCGAGGCCACCTCGCGGGAGGGCGCGGCGGGCGCGGGCTCAGATGGCCTCCACGTAGTTGGCGGGCAGCATCCCCGTGTCACCCGTGCGCTCCACGGTCCCGTACATCCAGCCGTCGTCGATCTGCTGCACGTTGACGATGGTGTCCCCGTCCTGGAAGGAGACCTCGTCCTCGTCGGCGGCGCTGTAGTCGTACACTGCACGGTACCGCTTCTGGGGGGGACAGGACGGTCACTCGGGGCCCCCTGCGGGCTGCCACCGGCGGTGCTGGGGGCCAAACCCAGTCCCGCTGCACCTCTGCGTTCCTCCAGGGCCGGGCCCGGGGACCAGGGGCCGAGAGGGGGCGGGGGCCGGGCTGTGCCAGGTCGTGAATTCACTCCTGACTGAGTCTTAACTTCCGGGAGAAGCACTCGCCCTTTCACAGAGCACCTGGCGTCCACTAAGGGTCAGGCAGGGACAGAAGGGTTGAGGACAGTCACCCCGACCCCCCTGCCTCAGCACGGATGCAGTAAGGGCACAGACGCGGGCCAGGCAATGTTTAAATATCTGACATGCTGTTTGCTGCTACTGGGATTATTACAAGTATCAGTATTTTCTTTCTTTTTGTTTTGTATTCTCAGATAGGATCTCCCGGTGTAGCTCAGGCTGGCCTTCAACTCAGAGATCCTCCTGACTCAGTCTCCTGGGTGCTGGGATCACATGCAGGCACCACCACACCCAGCAAATGTCACACCGTGACCCTGCTGCCCCGTCCCTTACCCTGCTGGCTATCTTCAGGGCACATGCCATACTAGGGCCTGGCGTTATAGATCTACATATTTATTGCTCTTACTAGCATGCAAGCTCCCAGAGAGCGGGACAGTAGCCAAACCCAGGGCAGAGGAGCAGCTGAGGGGCTAGCGGTCACTGGAATCCCAGCCTATCCCCAGTACCCGCGCTGTGTTGTGCGTCCACAGCCAGAGGCTCCGGGGCTGCTTATGGCAGCTGTTTCATTCCCCTGGGATCTGTCTCTCTGCCCTCCCACAAGCTGCTTTGTTTCCCAAGCCCCTGGCATGGTGGTGACCCAGCTGCTCCCACCAGGGGACAGAGAGCAGGACTTACAGGCTGAGACCTTCACACTCAGGACTGCTAAACCAGAGCCTGTCTACCCTCCCTGGCTCCCAGTATGTGAACCAAGGATGCCACTCTGTCTTCAGGGGACACCCGAGAGCCAGCCAGCAGGGAGAAACTTCAAGGTGGAAAAAGTGAGCTGGGCGGGGTGGCGTATGCCTGCGATCTCAGCACTGTGGGAGGCTGAGGCAGGAGGATTCCAAGTTCACATCTCAAAGAAAAGGGTGGAGGCTGTCGTTCAGTGCAAAGGCCCTGGGTTCCATCTCCAGTACCAGGGAAGAAAAATAGGCTGGAAAAAAGTGCTAAGGGACTGGTGAGTGGGTCAAGGGACACAAACAGTGGAGACCCACTAGACACAGGAGGAAGGTCTGGGAGGAGCAGGCAGAGATGTGAAGGGTGTGAGGTCTCTTCATGAAAAACGGGGCCATCCCACGCCCGGAGAAGCCCACACAGAAAGGGGCCTGTGTGCACCCTGGAATCAGAGCAGGCAGTGGCCCCGCCCCAGAGAGCCACTTCCTCTAACTTATGAGGCTCCTCACACAGGACAGGGGTGCTGGGCGGGGTCAGAGGCAGGAGGACCTGCGAGCCCCCCACCCCACTGCTTCCCACCGCCCCTACTCACCCCACCGCCGCCTGGGGCGCTGCGCTGTACGGAGCCGGGGCCCGAGGGCACACCATAGGATGGGGTTGCCTGTTGCTGCTGCTGCTGCTGATAAACTGGGGGGTTCAGGGATCAGAGGTCAGGGGTCAGAACGCACCTGGAGCCCCCCCCCCAAAGCCACTGTCGTGCCAAGGTCACTCGCTCCCCACCCAAAATCCCGTCACCCGTGCACGTGTCCACGTCGGGGACCCCCCCACAGGAGCTGCGTCCCCCACACCCACAGCCTGGCACAGCTTGACCCCTCGCTGGGGAGGGGCTGGGCTTGTGACGATGTTGCGTGTGGCCTCTCCTGCCCTCTCCTGCCCTTGCACCCACACCAACCGGGGGCGCTGGTCGGGATGTGGTGCAGCTGTGGCTGCTGCTCCGGGGGCCGCCGGTAGCTGCCGCTGTCCTGCACGTCCCTGCGGTCTGGCTCCACGCCCTCGACACCGCTGGGGCCCATGCGGCTCTTCTCAAACTCCTCGTGGTACTTTATCTGCAGAGCAGGAGGCTGAGTCAAGAAAGATCCCAGGGCAAAGCAGGGCAAAGCAGCCAGGACCCTCCCAGCGCCGCACCAGACCCTGGGAAGGAGGCCGCTATTCTGGAGGCTGAGGCAGGAGGATTGCAAGTTTGAGTCCAGCCCTGCCAACTTATCGAAACCCTGTCTGGAAACAAAAAATGGGCTGTGGGTGTTACTGAGGGTCAAGGGGCTTGGTTCAACTCCCCATACTACAAAAAAGAAATCAAATAAAGCAAATAAAAGGCTCTCAGAAGAGATGGGACCCCCGAGGACGGTGCTGCAGGGCAGAGCCTCGGTCCACAATTCCATCAAACCAGCCACAGAGGACCTCAGAGCTGCGGGTGGGATGACAGGCACCACAGGGCCACGGTGTCCCTGCCCCATCACTCCACAGTGGCTATGGCTCCCGTGTGCCAAGCTCTTCTTAGAAGGTGTTCGTGTCACAGCCTGCTCTGGGGATCTGCTCGGTGCCTGGCCCTTCCCTGACAGAAGCGAAGAGGTGGCTGGAGGCGCCTTTGATTTGGGATTTGTTTGAGACAGGGTCTTCCTATGTTACGTAGTTCAGGCTGGCCTTAGATCCTCCTGCCTCAGCCTCCTGAGTGCTGGGATGACAGGCGTGTGCTGCCACCCCTGGCTATGACCCCACATTCCTGCCACTGACCCATTTAGCACAAGCCTCCCTAGTCACGTGTATTGGATAAATGACACAGGTATCACCTTGCAAACCGGAATGCATGTTGCAGAGCCGCTCCCCCCCCTCCCCCGCCAACGTAACATAAACGACACAAGCATGAGAAAATGAGACGCAGGAGTCCTGCAGCTTCAAGGCACGCACGTCCACACTGCACCCGCGCCCAGCCGAGCTGAGGAGGAAGTGGGACAGAGGGACAGGCTGAGCAGCTCCTGCCACTCCCAGGGGGCACTCAGAGCAGGCCACCGGCTCGAGAAGGGGGGGGGAGGGGCAGGGGACGGAGGAGGAGGAAGCGGCCCGGGCCGACGCCAGCAGGCCAGGGACGCTGGCTGGAGGCCGCCGTCACTTCCTGCTCCCCGGGGCGCCGCGCTGCCCTGTGCCCGCCTGGAACACGGTGGCTCCGGGTACGGGAGGGAGAAGGAGGTGGGTCCGGCCTGCCGTCTGCTGGAGCAAAGGAAGGACCAGGGTTGAGGGACCTGCACAGGGACAGGCAGAAAGCGTGTCCCACAGGGGCACGGGTCAAGGCCAGCCTCCCGTCCCTGTCCCTGTCCCTTCCCTGGGTGGCCAGGCAGGAACCCTGACGCCCTACAGCAAAGCAGGCTGAGCACACCCTGGGGGACACAGCCAGCCCTGGGCAGACAAACCAGCGGGAGGGACCCCAGTCGCCACGGGACAGCGTCACCTCCCTCTTCTGGGGATGAAGGTCGGGGTGGGGCGGGGGTTTCTCCTCTGTCTACTCTGTTAATGAAAACGCCAAGCCCAAGCTGTGGGGGGGACAGGGGACAGAAGAGCAGAGGGGCGGGGACGCTGGTGTGGCCTGAGCCCTAAGTGTGCCTGGAGGTGACCCGCGGGGACAAGGGTCCTGCGCCGAGGTCTCCCGCCGGCTGTGGCTCTGCACCAGCGATGGGCAGCAGGGAAGCCGGGCACCGCCCCCTCGGGCCCTGCGGACTCATCCCTCAGTGCGCTCTCCGAGCCTCGTCCCGGGGCCCAGAGCCCGCTCACTCCGTCACTCACTCCGGGGCCTTGGGAGAGCGCCTTGCCCCTCTAGGCCTCAAGAGGGGCAATGCTGCCACCTCCTCCCTGGACACCTGCCAGCCCTGGAAAGTGTGGGTGTGTGCACACAGACGTGTGCGACTGGCTGCTGGGATGCATCGCACTCTTTAGAAAGTCCAGGGGTGGTGGGGTGCTCAGAGCTGCAAACAGACTTTTGCAGGGTGGTGGTGCATGCCTGTCATCCCAGCACTGGGGAGGCTGAGGCAGGAGGATCCCCATGAGTTCAAGGCCAGCTTGAACTACATAGCAAGACCCTGTCTCAAAAAACAAAAAAAAACAATAAAAAAGGCAGAGAAAGTTCCCAGAGTCCAAGGGCTCAGAGCTCTGATCTTCCAGGAGCCCTGCACGGGGGTCACCAGGGCCCAGGCTGCCCTGCAGACCCTGCGTGTGACCAGTCCTGGTCTCCATGGGAAGAGGCTGCGTCCCAATGGACTGTCCCTGCCAGCCAGAGCCCCCCCACCTCGCCCAGGCTCTGGGGTGACTGCTGATGCTGATGTTCCTTTTCTGACGCTTCTGCTTTGACTGGTGGAAACCACAGCCTGACTCGCCACAGCCCACGGGACTCACGGAGCACGGGCTGAGGGTCAGCATGCAGGCGGGGCGGGGAGCTCGGACCCACTGGCCGGGCTGTGCTTTTTATTTTATTTTATTTTATTTATTTATGTATTTATTTTTGTTGTTGTTTTTTTGAGAGAGGGTCTCACTATGCAATTCAAGCTGGCCTTGAGCTCACTTGGAAGCCCAGGTTTGTCTCAAACTTGCAACAATCCTCCTGCCTCAGCCTCCCGAGTGCTGGGATTACAGGTGTGCGCCACCACACCTGTGTGGTGTGCTGAGCACCCGTCTTGGGAGCCTGCGTGGATCCCTTCCTTCCTTTCTTTCTCTATGAGCCCCAGGGTATTTTACAGATGAAAAAAGCAAGGCTGCAGAGGTGGGAGGTCAGAAACCATGTTCTCAACTAGCACCCTTAGCTGAGACTCACATGCATAGATTTGGGCTCAACTTCATTAGCAACAAAAAAAATCCAAACATCCATGCACAACATAATACCTGCAGCAATATCACACAATGGAACATGTGTCACATATGGCACGAACGACCCCCCCCACACACACACACAGCTGAACCATTTTCCCCGCTGTTCGGCAGGGATGGAGCGGGAATCCAGGGCTTTGCACATGCTAGGCAAGCGCTCTGCACTGAGCTGCACCGCTGCCGGGTAGGTGAATCTCTAACATGATACCGTGTACTCTCCAAATTAGAACACAAAACCAGCGTTTGGGAGTGCACAGTTCTATGTCAGAAGCGCAGAGAACCAAGCAAGCTCCAAAGCGAACTGGAGGATCCGCATCTGGGCACACTCACCAGTGTACAGGAAGGGGGTGGCCAGCCCTGTGTGTGCATGTGTGTGTGTGTGCGTGTGTGTGTGTGTCTGTCTGTCTGTCTGTCACTGGAGATTTAACCCAGCGCCTCATACAGGCTAGTCCTACCACTGAGTTATGTCCCAAGCCCTTTATTAGTAGTAGCAGTAGTAGCAGTCGTGGTAGGGTTTTCATTTTCCGACACAGCGTTTTGCTACGTAGCTCCGGCTGGCCTCGGAAGTGCTGGGATTATAGGCGTGAGCTGCCATGCCCAGCTTCAGCCAGTTCTGTGTGTGGTTTGGGTTCCCTCAGCGGCCGGGGACATGGCCAGCTGGGGACCTCTGACTCAAAACAGCGGAGGGCACCACAGTGACCCCCAGGTGTGCGTTCCATGGGCGCCCTGGCGGCTGCCCAGCCCTGGCAGAGCTGGTCCAGGCCCACGTCTGCACTGTGTGCACCAAGACGTGGCCTCCGAGCTCCGAGATCAGCCCGGGGACACCGCTCAGGGCTCAGGGCAGTCTGGCCTGCGGTCGCTGCTGCGAGGGTGATCTCGTCCTCGGCGTGGACGCCTGGGCCCCAGGGAGTTCTGTTACTCAGATGCCTCAAACAGCAACTCCTCCTGCCAAGGGAGCGGAGGGCCTGGCAGCCGTCCAGGGAGGGTGGCGGGATGTGCGTCACAGATCGCGCTCAGGCACTAGCACTCACCGCGGAGCTTTTCCCTCCTGCAGCGCGGGCGCTCGAAGCCACCCCGGCCCTCAGCCCACAGCCACGTGGGCAACACAGGGCGCCCCACCACCTGCAGCGCGCGCCTGGGCCCCGCATCTGCGTCTGTGGCTGACAGCAGCGCCCTGCCCCGTGCGCCTGGCTGGCCAGAGCCACCCAGGTTGCTCTCTGTCCCCCGAGTGCGTGGGGACCTCCATCTACCACCACTCACAGGAACGCTGGGAGCAGGGGGCGTGGTGAAGCGGTGGGTTGTGACACAGGAAGGAAGATCGCTGGAGGGAGGCGGCTGGGCGGAAATGCCGGTGATGTCAGCACCCAGGGCAGCAGGGTCTGCGCCCTAACGCCTGCCCCGCCCAGCAGAAAGACCAACCTCTGCAAAGCCAGGAAGGGCCCAGCCCCACCCCACAGATGGACGGCAGCCCCAACCCTTCCCTCTGTTCAAGCCACCGCCGGCCGGCCAGGGGGCAGCAGGGGCGGGAGCTCACGTTGCTGATCTGGTCCTGGGTCTTCTTGATCCTCTGGAGCTCGGGGGTGTCCGCCACCACGCTGAAGCCTTTGCCCTTGTTCTTCTCAAACTCCTCCTTGTAGCGCACCTGGGGAGAAGGGGCCAGGGTCAGCACGGGGGCGGCAGGTGATGCCCCCAGGAGATAAAGACTTAAGATCCTGCACAGAAGCACAGCGCCACGCGCCCCGAGCGGTGCCATCCACACGCACGCACGCACGCACGCACGCACACAAGCGGCCCCATTTCACAGAGAGGAAACCGAGCTGTCCTGGGGCAGAGCCTCTCACAGGACACCAGAGCCTTGACCTCGCTTGGCCTGGCAGCCAATGCCCAGAGCCCCAAGATGAGGAGACCCCTGGCTGCCGCCTGCCGCCGCAGGGCCCTCGACCGGAAGCCCCAGGCAGGGGTCACCCTGCCAGGAGGGGGCCCGGCCCGCCGAAAGCGCGGGGCTGCTAGGGAGCGGCTGAGGGACGGCTGCGCCAAAGGACGGTCGGTGCCGGAAAGGTGGCCCGGCACAGCCCAAGCGAAGGCCGATCAATGAGCCTCTGACGGCCCAGGCTTCCTGAGCCCGCCGGGGTTCCGAGGCACCCGCCATGGGAGGGGAGAGAGGAAGTGGGCGGGGACAGGGGACAGTGGGGCCAAGACGGGGACCTGCCGCCCCACTGCGCGGTCACCTGACAATCCTGAGCAACTGAGTCGGGCTTCCCGGGCTGCAGGAAAAGACTGAGCACTTGTTCCACCTCCCCTGGGGGTTTGCGGGACGGGGCTGCTCCGAGGCTTCCAGAGGTTCCCGGGCCCCCTCGGCAGCCATCTGTTCCAGGCTGCACAGCTGCCGGGGCTGTTGTCCTGAATCAGGTCAGCCCAGGACATGGGGCCTCCGGAGCACCCTGTTCCCAGCCCAGGAGCCTGGGGCTCCTCCGCCCCTAGCACCCAGCTCTGCACCCTGACCTGACCTGACCCCCGCATGAGCCATACCCGTCAGGTCCCACGTTTCACTGCAGACTGGGCATGGTGCATGGGCTGCAACCCCAGCTACTCAGGAGGCTGAGGCAGGAGGATCACAAATTCAAGCCCAGTTGGGAAACACAGTGTCTCAAAAAAACAAAAATATGACGGGCGTAGTGGCGCAGGCCTGTAATCCCAGCACTAGGGGGGCTGAGGCAGGAGGATCATTGTGAGTTCGAGACCAGCCTGGGCTAAAAGTGAGTTCAAGGTCAGCCTGAACTGCATAGCGAGACCCTGTCTCAAAAAGACAAAAAAAAAAAAAAAAAAAAAAATCCCCGAAAACTGATTGGGCTGGGGTGTGGCTCAGTGCTCATCAGACTGGAAGTCTGAGCAAGGTAGAGGGCCCACTTCAATCCGCTACTCGCTGGTGACCTTCGGCCACAGTCTTGACCTCTCAAGGTTCAGCCTCCAAATCTGTAGTGGAGACCAAGGACCAGGCATCAGGCCCATGACGCAGACTGGGGTCCGAGGCCACAGCCGGCGAGGGAAGCTGTGAAAGCGCTGTCCCCAGCTGTGCTGACCCAGCGCCAGGCCTGCTCCCTCCTCTGTTTCCTGGCTTTGCAAGGGTCAGGCCCTCACCCGGGGGAGCCATCGCCATGGTAACATGGAGTGACATCAGTTGGTTCCCAGGCCCGGGAGCTGCACCCGTCCACTCCTTGCCAGGAAGGGGGATTCATTTTGTTCTTCATGAAGGCCTGACAGGGCGAGCAGGATGAGCAGGCGGGGTCACTTTGGTGTGAGCCCAACCAAGCCAGCTCCCCTCTCCAGGTGGCCTAAGGGGACAGGTGAGCTGACCTCTAAATGCCTCCCACTCTAAACTGAGCGTGGTGGCGCACACCTGTAATCCCAGGACTCAGGAGGCTGAGGCAGGAGGACTGTGTGAGCTCAAGGCCAGCCTGGGCTACATAGTGAGTTTGAAGGCAGCCTAAATGACATAATGAGACCCTGCCTCAAAAAAATCCAACCAGAATTGCAGTAGTTCGAGTTCAAGGCCAGCCTGGACTTCGGAGCCAGACGCTGTCTCAAAACAAAAAACGCCCCTGGCTCTGGAGCTGGTGATCGGTCCTAAGCACGCTGAGGCCCTACCCAGAAAGTCAGATGGGGAAAGTCTAAGGGGCTTTAGGGCTGTGAGGGGTGGCAGGCAGCCAGGCTGAGCCCTACCACCAGGCAGGTCCCGATGGCCCACATGGGAATGCCTGCCCACTGTAGGACGGATCACGGGGCTTAGTGTGGTGGCTCTGGGGTCTCCGCCCAAGGTCACCCACCACAGAGGTCCACGGGGGCAGAGCGCGACTCAGCACTTTGGCCGGAAGACGCCACCCCAGGTCAGTGCCCAGCCTCCCACCCTGGAAACGCCCAGGGCAGCGCTGGCCTGCCGCCTGGGGCTCCTGCCGCCCACTCGGCCTTGGCAGTGCGATTCTGCTTTCTGTTTGTGGGTCCTGACTCTCCCCGGCTGTGTCTTGTTCATTGCTACCCAGCCCTGAGTTCAACGGCCATCCCTGCCCCCTGCCCAGAAGAAGATGAAGAAAAGATCGTGACTTAAAAAAAAAAAAATGTATTTAGCACCAGGCATGGTGGTAAATGCTTGTAATCCTAGCACTCAGGAGGCTGAGGCAGGAGGATCACCACAAGTTCAAGGCCAGCTTCAACTACACATAGACCTTGTCTCAAAAAAACAAACGTATTGAGCAAAATATACCACCAACCATTTCCAGTACTGGGTCTCTACTACACGCTAGGCCTATACTATGTAACCTATCCCCGCCCCCTCTTTTTGTTTTTTTTTGAGACAGGGTCTCACTATGTACTTCAGACTGGCCTTGAGCTCACTTTGTAGCCCAGGGTGGTCTCAAACTCGCAGAGATCCTCCTGCCTCAGCCTTCCAAGTGCTGGGATTACAGGCGTGCACCCCTATGCCCAGCTCAATAACCTATCCCCTTCTATCAGAAAGGAAACAGTTTTTGAATTAGCCCCGCACAGATGGGGAAGAGAGCTAATGAGAAAGGCCAGAGATACAAGGGGGTGTCAAAGGTCTCTGTATCCATTTCCGTCCCTTCCAGAACAGTCACTCAGACATTTATTAGTGCTGGTTCACACCAGGGAGCTGGATGTAGTGGCATAATCCCAGCACTCGGGAGGCTGAGGCAGGAGGATCATTGTGAGTTCAAAACCCGCCTGGGCTACAAAGTGAGCTCAAGGCTGGTTTGAACTGCGTAGGGAGACCCTGTCTCAAAAAAAAAAAAAAAAGGACAAAATAAAAAAGAAACACCAGAGGCAGCCAGGTGCCCCCCAAGTCCTGAAACCCACAGGGCCACCTTAGGAAGCTAACCCCCACATCACACATGAGAAAGCACGGTCAGCTGTGAGGCTGAGTGACATTCCCCCCGGAGGTGCTGCCTGCCGTGCACCCACCCTCCCCCGCGGCCTCCCCACAGTGCCAGCAGGTGCCGATAAAGACGAAACAGAAGAGACCCTCCTGACACTGCTGCCTGGCCCGAGCCCCCTGCACTGCTGCCCCATCAGCCTCGTGGTGGGGGCTCACAGCTGCTTCTGCGGGACAGTTCTGCGGTGTCCTGCAGCGCAGGGGAAACCACAGGTGTCCCAGACACCTAAAGTGCCACTTTGGGGACGAATATAGCAACAGGAAGACAAATGAAGTAGAAATAGCATGGGCAGCTTCCTAGGCAGGGCACAGAGGGCGGTAGTGGTGCTGCGGGCGGCGACCCCCACTTCCCTTCTCACCAGCCCCTGCCCCGCTGGGCCACAGGCACCAGAAGCCCAGCCAGGCCGCGCCTTCCAGCCTCAGACAGCAGCTGTAGTGGAGGTGTTGGAAGAGGAGGAAGCCAGGCAGGGCAGATAAAGCCTCAGGCCACACACAGCTGGTCGGAGCGGGGACGGGGCCCTTCCCTCCCCACCTGCCTGCCCTGGCCCCAGCCTGAGTCCCCCGAGTCAGCCCGGAGCTCCTGCCTGGCCTGGCTTCCTCACGCCCACATTGGAACCACCACAGCTCAGAATGCGGTCCTGGGCCTCACTTAGAGCCCTGCGGGGCCCTGGGAACCTGTATCCCCACCATCCTGGCACCGGCTGGTGACCCCGGTGGCCACGTGGATGCCACTGGGCAGGTCCTGCAGACCAGGGAGGAGCACAGCAAGCTGGCCTGGAGCAGAAATCCTGCCCCGGGCTCTGGGCACAAAGCCAAGTGCTTCTCCCACACGCAGCGTCCCCGGCTGTGTGGCGGGGATGGGAGCCCCTTTCCTGGGCGGCTGCAAGGGGGAAGCAAGGCCAGGGACGCTCCTGCGGGGACAGCCCCACGCGCATGTGCAGCCTGGCCTCCTCAGGACACCCGTCCCCCCGGCCTCTCTCGGGGACCCAGGTGCGTCCGCAGAGGAGTCTCACACCTGGGCTGCCTGAGTTCAAGGGCGCTGCACCTGGGATCGAAAGACCAGCGCCCTCACTGCGTCACCAAGCAAAGCCCAGCCCTGCCAGCCTTGGTCCCCAAGCCGGGACATGGAGGGGACCGTCTCCCACTCCGCCCCTAGTCAAGTGGGCCAGTGGGAGGAGGGGAAATATTTCTGGATTAGGAGGGTCTCAGCAGCATCAGGGCCACCAACACTCAGACAGGAAACCAGAAAGGACCTGTCCCCACGTCCAGCCAACCTCAAAACCACTGGCATCGCCTGTCACGGTGCACAGTACACAGGGCTGGCGGAGCACTCAGGGAGCTCACTGGGCGGAGCGCGGCACCCCAAGGTTTTGGGCTTAATGTTGTGGTCACCTCTGCTGCAGCCTGCTGACCTTAGCCTGGCCCTGCCCTAACCTCCAGTCCTCTCCCTCGCTCTCTGGCATTGGAGATTGTACCCAGGGATTTTTTTCTTTTGAGACAGGCAGGGTCTCACTTCACAGCCCAGGCTGGCCTTAAGCTCAGGGCAATCCTCCTGCTTCAGCCTCCCAAGTACTGAGATCACAGTTGTATGCTACCATGCCGAGAGCTTACTTTTTATTTTGAGACCCGGCCTTACTAACTAGCTAAGTCATTAAAGTACCCAGGCTAGGCTGGAACTTGAGATCCTCCTGCCTTGGCCTCCGGAGTACTAGGGTGAGAGGCGTGTGCCACCACACCTGGCCAGACCACTGGCTTCTTTCTTGCTCAGTGTCCCCTAACCAGGCTGCACCCCTCCCCACACCACAGGGCTCAGGAAAGTCAGACACCTTCACACCTGCCCTGCAGGTTGGAGAAGATTTGGGGTTGCTACAGAGGGAAGCTGTGCAGCCTCAGACTGCAAAGACCGGGCCCTGTGAGCGGCTAGGTATAAATGGAGCTGCTTCCTGGAGGAGGCGGGCTTTCGGGGGCCCAGGGTAGAATCAAGCAGACACACACCTCTCCAGGAAGCAGGGCCTGGCTCTGCCCCCACCGAAGTCAGGAAGTGTGACGCAAATGCGTGGGGGCGGGGCGGAGACAGGCCAGGATAGCAGCACCTTGGCCCCAGGGCCGACCGCAGGGGAAGCAGCCCCGGGTTGCCACTGTCCACCCACTGGCACCTCCTGTACCTGGCTCTGAAGCTCGCTCTGCTGCTTGAGGCGAAGGTTTTCCGGGGTGTCGGCCACCATGGTGAAGGACTGCTTGGGGTAGTGTCTGCAGGACAGAACAGAGAGGCGTCACTCCGAGCATCCACTTCCTCTTCACCTCGGGCAGTTCCAGGGCCCCGTGGCCACTGCCTGTCCCTGCGTGCAGGACTGCTCCTCAGGCTGGGCCTGAGTCAGCCAAACCAGGAAGGCCAGAGGCCTGGGGGCTGTCCTGAGTCCCAGGGAGGCCATTGGTCACTCAGAGTTTCCAATTCCTGTGTCTGGGACAATCCATACCCTGAGGCCTCCCATAGAGAGGTCAGCGAGACTGGGTCACCCAGGACGGCTGCGGCAGGCTGGGGAGAACGAGGGCAGGCGGTCACGGCCAAGACTAGAAACGGAAGCCAGGTGTGGTGGTGCCCGCTGGGAATCCCAGCCCTGGGGAGGCGCAGGCTGGAGGCTAGTGGGTCTGAGGCCAGGCTGGGCCACACAGCGGGCTCTGCCTCAAACAGCAGAATCAGAGACCAACCATGCCCAGGAAGGGCAAGAGGGCACAAGACAGGAGGGAAAGGCGACACACACGGGGATTCCCGGAGGACGGAGTGACAGAGAGCGCAGATACCCAAAGCGGCGTTTCAGCTGTCCTTGGATCTAATGGGCTTTCTGCAGTGCTGGGAATCGAACCCAGGGCCCCGAGCAGACTTGAGGCAAGCGCTGTCACTGGCTACATCCCAAGGCCTGGCTTAATTAGAGGGTGGGGAGCAAAAGCAACTTGAGACCAGCAAAGTGCCCTCCACGGGACGGCAACGACAGTCAGCGTCTGCCCTGCGCCCGAGCGCGTCAGATCCTCACAGCCCCGCTCTGCGCTAGCGCAGTCGCCGTCCCCCTTTGACAGACAGAAGTCAGACAAGAGGCCACGTAGGACCAGATGTGCGCTGCGCAGTCTCCTTGGAGTCCAGCACACAGGGCTCCAGCCGCCCGTCTCAGGTGGGACAGCCCAGGGTCCTCAGCTGCAGACACAGCGGGCTTGGAGGTGGCAGGAGGCAGGGTGGGACCTGAGGACAGCCCTGTCATTTCACAGGGAGCGAACTGCGGCTGGCCCTTGTCACTGCTCTCATGGTCTTGTCTCCCCACCGCTGCCCGGACACAGGACACAGGTTTGCTCTATCCATTAGATCCGCCCCCAAGCGCCAAACACGCCCGTGTTCCCTAGGTATCTGTTGAATAAACAAAGGTCACACTAGGCGTTGAAGCTGGGCCAGGACCAGAACTTGTGTCTCCAATGTCCTCCTAGGTCACCACAAGATCCCACAGCAAACCAACAACCAGAGAGGCAGCCCGGTGCCATGGTGGTGGTTGGCACGCGCATGCCGGGTAGAACGGCGGCGGCCACGTGGGCCCAGCTATTTCGGGGACTGGTGGGAGGCCACTCCAAGCCAGAGCCCAAGGTCCGGGCATTCTTCGCTCTGGGTGACCAGGCCCACCACAACTGTGACCACTGCAGATCCCAAGGAAGAGGCGATGGCCCCCCGCGACCTCCATCCGGGCCTGGCCCAGCTGGGGAGTTGGCCCTGAGGTGCCACCTGCCCGTGACCTCACCAAACCTGGCACGCCATCAGCGACCTGTGCACATGGCCACTCGCTGGGGAGTGCGCTGAAGGGCAGGACTTTGGGGGCGGACAACCCACTCGATAGTGCCACAGCTAGCAGGGCACAGCGCTGGGTGACCTTGGCGAGTCCTCCTCCGCTCAGGACCAGGCTCCTGCCCTGCCACCCACGCCATCCCTGAGAGCAGCCCTCGCTGCACAGCGAGGGGAGGAGGACAAAGGCAAACACAGGTGCCCGGTCTGGCAACACGAACGGCCCACAGATGAATGCAGGGAGAAGGCGGTGGTCCGGCCCCCGGCCTGGCCCTGCTCCATCAGCCAGGGCCACCCACAGCTCAGAAGCACGTTCGAAGTTTCCGAGCATTTGGGGGCAGGAGAGAACTAAACGGGACAAGAGGCCTGGCAGAACCGGCTGGCCTGAGGTCACAGGAGGGAGGGCTTCAGACATGGCCCTCCCCCAAATTGGGGCGGGGTGTGGCAAGGACACGTTTCTGTCTAAGTAGGAGTAGACAGGGCAGACATGGACCGCTCTGGGTCAGACACGCAGGATCAGTTCTGAGAATGCAGCAGCATCAAGACAGATAGGGGAGGGGCTGGGGATTTATCTCAGTAGCACAGCACATGCCTGGCAAGTGCAAGGTCGTGAGTTCAATTCCTGGTATGGGGGGGTGGGGTAAATGGAAATGCGGGGGGAGGCACTGCACAAAAACAAATCCAGGGGAGCCGCTGCTCATGATAGGTTTCCCTTTTGCAGGAACGCACAGGGTTAAAAAGCAAGGTGCCAGCTCCGGTGGCCCAAGGACAGCCAGATGTGTGCACAGCCAGCCACTCACACCCTCTCCCTCCCCAGAACAGGGCTCCCACAGCCCCACGCCACCTCTACAGCGAGAACGGCGTACATACAGAGGTATGCTCTGCAGGACAGGGGCAGCTGTGTTTCCAGCCGGTCACACCCCCCCCCCTGCACACCCAGGCCATGTCCCTCCCTGTGGCTCGGGATCAGGCTCCCTTAGGCACCACCATTATCCACAGTCTCAGCCCCCTAGAACCAGAACACTAATCCTTTCAAAAAGGAGGGGTGGGGTGAACCAGCGTAGACTTCAACTTGGTTTAATTTGCTGGGGGTGGTGGAGGATTTCAATCCCGCAGCAGATTAACCAGATTAAAGAGCACCTCCGGGCCTTCCCACCACCCCCTGCACAGGCCACGTCCCCCTGCTGGGTCAGCCCCCAGCCCCCAGCCCCAGTGAGACAACCCTGCGTCTCCTCCCTTGCTCACTGGCTTCAGGTTCCCATGGCAACTGCATCCTCAGCTCCAGGCAAGAGAGCACAGAGAGAGGGGTCCACGGGGTATGGGTGGGGGCAGGGAGAGCCGCAGACAGCACAGGCGACCTCAACCAAGGACCAAGGAGAGGCCCACGAGGGCCAAACCAGGAGGTCTGTGCAGAAGCCCAGTCACAACTGAGGCGACAAGGACAGGCGCCCGGGTCTGTGGAGGGAGGTGGCCCTGCCCCTCCTCCCACCAACAGGACTGGCTCTAAAGTGGGCTCCGACTGACCTGACTCCTCCCAGAAACAGCAGCTCAAAGCCACTGGGCTGTCTCCCTGACCTCCGGTCCTCAGGTAACTCCCCTCGCCAGCCATCACCCTCAGATCCCAGGCTGGACAGAGCGTGTGCGAGGGAGTGCACGTGTGTGTACGTGTGTATACGTGTGTGCGCGCACGTGCCTGGACTGTGGTGAGGGGCCGCCGGGCGGGGTAAGAGGGGCAGTGGAGTCCACAGCTCAGAGCTGCCCAGCCCCCGCCCCCTCCTCCCTGCTGTCAGGAGCTGCAGGAAGCAGCTAGCTAGGACAGGACATGTGGGCACAGGGGAAAAGACTTGGCATCCATGATGCCACAACCAGGAAAAGCCTGGTGGCCAGGAAGAGGGGTGGGCAGCCTGGCCTTCAGAACACTGCACAGCCACAAATTAGCCCTGTCCCGTGTCCCATGCACCCTACCCTGAAATGCACCACCAGGCTTCAGCATTACCGGCCAAGCGTACCGATGCACATTTATAATCCCAGCGTTCAGGAGGCTGAGGCAGGAGGACTGCTTGCTGAGAGCTCAAGGCCAGCCTGAGCTACACAGTGAGACTCTGTCTCAAAAATACAACCACGACAAAATTCCAGAGATAAGGGTCCTCTGGGGACAGACAGTGACCTATGTCAACAGGCAGGCAACCTCTGTCCCAACAGAGGGGTCACCCTGAGGACCTCTGAGTCACCTTCCTGCTTGGAAGCTCTCAAGGGCAGGGAGGATGCTGAGAAGGACAAGGACTCCCGGGTGACAGGGACAGTGTCTCTCTCTGCCACCAGCTCTCCTCAGAGGAGGAACAAGGACAGAAAAGACCCGCACAGCCCAGCTCCCCTTTCTGCAGGGCCCTCAACCCTCCAAGCCCCAGACCCCTACAAAAACCACAGCTTTGTTTTCAAGGAGGAATAAAAATACATCGACAAAAGCAACAAGGAGCTGTTGATTTTACCAAAGGGAGAAAGAAAAAAAAAAACAAAAAACCTACCACCAGAAAAACAGCCCTGACATCCTGCCACCTCTGGTCAGAGCTGCTGATTCCAAAGCCCCTGCTGGGAAGGCTGCCCAGGGCCGCAGGAGGACTCCTTAACCCACTTTCCCAGCCTCCTGTCCACCGGCCTGGGGGCAAAGCGCTGGAGACAGGAAGCAACAAGGAGCCATTGTCCGACCAGAGGGGGAAAGGGAAAGATCAAGGGCAGACTGGAGGAAGAACTTACCAGCCTTTGGGGACTGCAGAGCTACAAATGAGAAAGAAAATAAAACCAAGCTGGGCATGGTACATGCCTGTCCTGCCATCGTTCAGGAGGCTGCGGGGCAGGCGCGGGGAGTTCAAGGCCAGCATGGGTTACAAAGAAATCCAATGCACAGACCTTGCCTCAACCTAGAGGGGACAGAGCTCGGTCCCCAGCCCCCCAGCATCAGGGAGGTCTCCGTCCTCCAGCCCCGCAGCCCAGGCCTCAAGCACACTGCTGGGCGAACCCCGCCATCTGTGATCGATGAAGAAAGAAAAAGGTGCGGCTGAGGCGCTCTTCTCCAGGCCATGCCCAGCCCTGCACCCCAGGCTGGTGCCCCACCCAGCACCCAGCCTCCTCTCCTCTCAGCCCGGCCCTGGGCAGGGCATCATTTGCAAGATGGGGAACAGCTTGCCCGGGCCAGGGGTGGGGGAATCTCGTTTACAAAACAAATCAAGGGCATCAGTGTTTCTCCAACCAAAGCAGGCTCGCCCCACCCACCTGGAAGTCAAGACACACAGAAGCGGCCTTTTTCCACTTCCAGTCACTTTCAGAGTGTCAGTCCAGCCGCCCTTCAGCTCAGGGGCTGGCCCGCAGGCTAAGCTCACACCCTCACTGTGGGTGCCCGGTACCCTAGCAGAGTACGACCACACCATTCACCCACACCTATGGGGCCTGCAAGGGCTTGGCAGCCTGGAACAGGGGTGCTATGCAGGAGGACGGGAACGGGAGACAGCTCCACCTGATTGCCAGGATTCAGGAAGCTGACAGCTGCTAAAGGACGGGGCCAGAGGCAGACAGAAAGCGGGAGGGGCACTCAGAAGGCTGAGGCAGGAGGATCACTGTGAGTCTGAGGCAGCCTGAATCACGTAGCGAGGCCCAGAAAACCCAAATAATGACAAAGACAAAGAAAGAAAGTAGGAGGAGAGGAGGGTCCGGGGCAGGCTCAGCAGTCGAGGGCTGGTCCAGTGTGGACAAGGCCCCAGGTTCATCCCCAGTGGTAAACCAAGGGGAAAGATCAACAGCACCGGGCACAGTGCCTGGCACACAGCAGGTGCTCTTTGGTGCACGGTCCGGCATCCCTGGGTAGGAATTTTTTGTTCTTTCTTTGAGACAGGTTTTTGCTATACAGTTCAGGTTGGTCTTGAACTCACTATGTACCCAGGCCAGCCTCAAACTCTCCGAAGTCCTCCTGCCTCAGCTTCCAAGGTGCTGGGATGACAGGCGTGCACCAGCACTCTGGACAGGAGTTTTTAAGTGTGGGGAAACAAGGCTCAGACAGGTGCAAAGACTCGTCCAGGGTGGAGCCGCGTCTGGCTCGCTCACAGATGCCCAGGTCTCTCCTCTCAGCCGGGGCCTTCCTAGCTGGGCCAGAGGCCAGAGATCAGCTGGATATGGCTGAATAGCGAGAGAGGAAAGCAGAGGGGGTTCTCCGGCCGGACACCAGGAGACGGGGGACCTGCAGCCCCTGCACTCCCACTTGTTGCTTCTAGGCTCCCCAGAAGACCGTGAGACGAAGCAAGCCAGGACTGAGGCGCCACGCTCAGAAGTGCAAAGGAAACGAGGGCAGGCCTCCAACTCCTTTCTCAACTCCCAGCACTCGCTGAGTTCTGGGGCTGAGAGCTAGGTCGTGGCGTCTCAGGAAGCGATGGAAGATGCACTCCGGCACCCTCTCCTCCGGTTCTGTGGAGTCCAGCAGCCAACGGGTTAAATGGCTCCGCTTCTCTGAACCCCACCCGCTCCCCAAAGGAGGGAAGAAGTGGCAGAGAGTCAAGGCTTGTGTGAGCCCATAAGAATTCAAAGAATGTCCCATTTCCCTTGGGGCTGGGAAGGGCTGGGGGTAGCAGAGCCAGGGGCAGCTGCAGGAGGAACAGCAGCAGCAGCAGCCTGAGCTAAGCCTGGCCCTCCCTCTACCAGGACACCTGCCCGGGACCCAGCGCTTCGGAAAGGACGGCGTTCCCCCACCCCTGGGGCTAGAGACCTTCTCTGAAAGCGGCTCTCCCGGTAGCTGGCACAGGTGGGCACAGAGCAGCAAGAGGTAGGCAATAAATGGGTGACGAGCAGTCCAAGCCCTCAAGGGGTAAGGCCAGGGTACAGGAGGGAACTGGGTGTGACCACGTGAGCGACAGCTGCTCAGAGGGACCTCAGGTCCCAGCCCCTCTTGGACAAGCCCCAAGTTTCCCTTCCTGTGTGAACTCTGGTTCCTAAGAGCCTCCTGTCTGAGCATTAATCTCATACTCCCAGGCCTTGGCATGCAAGAAACTGTCAGGCTTTTCTTCCTGCTCCCAAGGGGAAGCAAAACGCTAGATTCAAATCAGACCTCGATTCATTTGAATACTGAGTGTGCCACCTACGTGCAAGCGATCTGACCTGCAGCCGCAGCCCAGCAGAGGGCTGCGAGGTCTCACACAGGCCTCGGACCTAAGGCTGAGTCGGATTTGCTACTCCTGGGGTTGCAACAGGAATCGGCAGCATTCCTTGGCTGCAAGAGAGGACAGCAGTGTCACACTGTGCCCTCAGCCACTGCTGACAGAAGAAGGAAAATGACCCAGCACTTGGGAGGCTGAGGCAGGAGGATCACTGTGACTTCGAGGCCAGCCTGGGCTACAAAGTGAGCTCAAGGCCAGGCCAAATGAACCGCACAGTGAGACCCTGTCTCAGAAAGACAAAAGAAAAGAAGGAAAATGAGGAAACAGGAGGGAAGGGAAGACCAATCCCCATGACAACGGGGTGTACACAGGGCAGGTCCCATATTCCCAGCCCTGTGATCTTCACGAAGTCCCTTCCTGAAGCCTCAGTTTCCTCTCTGGTAAAATGGGGACAGGAAGAGCCCTTGCTGCACCTTGGTGTTGTGAGGACACACGATTGTGACACGGGGCAGGGCGTCCAAGATCATCCCGCCGAGGGGAAAGAAGGAGGCGGCGAGGGAGCAGGCGCCCGCCCACCCCGGCCAGGCCGCGGGACTCACGCGTTGCAGTAGGGCTTCTTCTCGTAGCCCTTGTAGTTCTTCATGTTCAGGGTCATCTTGCAGGTCTCGCAGTGGAAGCATGCTTTGTGCCAGAACTGCAGGTGGAGACAGGGACACCCGTCAGACACCAGCACGCCACAAGCCACAGCTTCCACGGGGCATGGCGCTCCCAGCCCACCCCCAGCAGGCAGCCAGGGAGGGGCGGGGCGGGAGCAGGCGGGCCTGGGGGTGATCAGTGTCAAGAGCCCGTGAGGTGCCAGGTCAGCCTCAGCTCCCTCGCGGGCCTCGCTGCGCATGCACAGCGATGCTCAGGTTGCTAAGAAGTGGAGGTGGACGGGGAAGGGGCAGCTCTGCAACCACACAGGGCCTGAGAAGGGGAGGCCCAGCCCCCCGCACCCCGTCCCTGGCCCCGTCCTCCAGCCTCGCCTCCGGACCAGGAGCCGGGGAAGTGTCCTGTGCTCCGGGCCCTGCACCCCGGGCTGCGTACCCCTCCCTTCTGCACCCCCAGGAGAAAGCAGGTAGTGCAGCACCCAGCAGCCTGTGCCCTGCGGGGCCCAAGAGGACACCAATCAAAGCTGGGGGACCTTGGGCAGTGCCTGACGGCGGCTGGCACCTCCCAGGGTCAGGTGCTGGGTGCAGACCGCAGGGATGGACCTGGGGGTGGGGGAGAGGGCAAGCGATGCGAGAGCGGGGACCCCACCCCCGGGAAAAGCCGTGCAGCCCTGGCAGATTCCTGTAAAGGAGACATCAATTCAGCCCCGCAGCCCCAACCTCTGATCCGGATGGCTCTTCCGTCCCTGTCCCTGTCCCTGTCCCTGTCCCTGTCCCTGTCCGTCCCGCCCTGAGTCAGCGAGCTGGAGGCCTGGGGGAGCAGGGGCCTCAGGGCACTGCTCCCAACTCAACCCACTTCCACCAGGACCACCACGCCAACTGCAGGGGTGGCGGCTTCCTCCACACATGGCCCTGTGCAGGAGAGCCGCAGGGAAAACCTCAGACTGCAATCTCTTGAAGGTGACAGGAGAATCCCTCTGCGGAGGAGGCAGCTGAAGTCCGGAAGTAAAGGGATGGGAGTCTGAGCGCCTCGGACTGGGACCCCGGCACCCAAGTCTGTCACCTGCCCGACTCCCCACGGTGCACAAGGAAAGCTGCAGCAGGGTGGTCCCTGCCCCCAGGCCGCAAACATGATGGCCCCCGCCCGTGACTGGCCCCTGCACTGCCACCCCCAGTCTGGCCACCTTTGCCTGGGAGGAGCCACTGGGCCCCCGCTTCCCCCAGCCCCGGAGGGGCCGCCAGGAAAAACATTCTCGGAATCCAGACCATGACCCACTTTGCACACAGACCAGGGAGTACGCCGTCTCCACTGCCGGAGCGATGGGGGGGGAGGCAGACACCCCACTGAGCAGATGGCCAGCCCGGCGGCATGGGGCAGGGACAGAGGCTACGGGCCAGGCTGGGGTGCAGGCCAATACCAGGGCTCCACGGAATGCACCCACTGCCCAGGGAGGAGGAGGAGGCCCTCTAGAGGGGACAGCTCTGTCCCCCTGGCCCCCCAGAGGTCCCTGCCGTCTTGACTCACAGCCCAGGCTGGGACGGGGGACAAGAGTGGCCGACTGCCCCCCACGGGGGCTCAGGAGCAGCACACTGGAAACAGCGTCCTGAGTGCCAGCAGGGTGGCGGTGCCGCGGAGCTAAAACCACTGTTCGGGGCACCGGGACAGGCAAGGACATGCGGTGCAGTGATGCACACCTGTGATCCCAGCACTCAGGAAGCCGAGGCAGGAGGACCCCACATTTCAAAAGAGAAGACTTCAGGTAAATATTCCTGGGACTCAGGAATCAGGAGTTAAGTGAACCTGCTGCCTTCCCGGGTTCACAGGCCATAAGGCCCCAGGCAGGACCTGCACACAGGGGAGAAGCCACTCGGGAAGGCGCCCTCTCACTCCCTCTACCTTCCCAAACCCCTCTGCAGAAAACCTGGCCCACAGCAAGGGAAACAGAAGCTGGAGCACAGATGCCCCGCAAGGTCCGCTCTGCCCTCCCTACAAGGCTCCGGAGCGGGGACAGGCACCTCAGGTGACAGAGCCCATGGCCTGGGGCCCTGCCCACACGGCTGTGATTCAGGGTTGGAGCATGGGACCTTCACCTCCCTTCCTGTTGCCTAGGGTTTCGTTTTTTTTTTTTCCTTCCTCCTCCAGAGGCGTCGCCAGCCCCACCCTGGCAGAGTCACCAGCTTGGCTCACTGGGCCACCTGGGCCACTGACTTAAAAAGCACCGATCCTGCCGCCAGGCATGGTGACATGCCTGTAAGTGCAGCTCTCAGGAGGCTGAGGCAGGAGGACTGCTTTGAGTTTGAGCCCAGCCTAGACTACAGGACTCCATAGCAAGACCCTGTCTCAAAAAAATCAAACAAACAAACAACAACAAAAAAAATACAAAACAAAACCAAAAAAAGGTCAGATCTTGCAAAGAAATAAATAAAATAAAAAACATACAGATTGCCAAGTGTGGCAGCACATGCCTGTAATCCTGCCACTCAGGAGACTGAGGCAGAAAGATTGTTGCAAGTTCAAGGCCAGCACAAGCTACAAAGTGAGCTCAAGGCCAGCCTGAACTGCATAGTGAGACTCTGTATCAAAAAGACAAAAGAAAAAAAAAACAAATTAAAAAAAAAAAAACCACAACTCTTTGCTAGATCTCCACAAACTCCAAGGCCACTTTTCTTTTAATTGGAGGTTGAACTCAGGGCTCACACTGAGCTCCATCCCCTGCCTTTTTATTATTTTTCATTTTGAGGCAGGTTCTTGCTAAGTCACTAAATTGCCCACACTGAGACTGAACTTTTAATCCTCCTGCCTCAGCCTCCCACATTGCTGGGATGTCAGAGATGGGGAGGGGTGTGGTTGTGTGTGTGTGTGTGTGTGTGCGCGCGCGTGTGTCCCGAAGTTCACACTGAGATATGCAGAGGTGAAAGTGCTTTTCAGTGAGGAGAAGCTGAACAGGACCCTGGTTTCGAATTCACCTATCCCAGCCTCACGTTAAGGGTTCATTATATACAGGAGCTCTTGGGCGATTCCTGGGGAGCTGGAACCAAACCAACCCACCCCTTCCTGAAGGTCTCCACCTCTCTCTGAAGCCAGAGGCAGCAAGCCAGCCAGGGAAGTGGGACTTGGCAGGATTCAGCCACACAAGTCCCCAGATGTAAGTAATGCTCAATAAATACCTGCTAAATGAAAGAGTGAATGAGGTCACCCTGTTTCTCCCCCAGCTCCAATCCGAGAAACTCTTTGGGGAAGCAAACCTCCACCTCCTTCCTGGAACAACAGAGCGATAGCTACTTATCCACTATGCAAAGCACTCTGGTCCTGTGGGCTGGGGGTGAGCTGGCTTTCGGAGGTGACAAGGCTTCTACCCTCCTGTGCCCCTGGGAGACAAGGCTGGGGAGGAGAAAAGACCAAGGACAGGGTTGTTCTGGGCTCCGGGCCATAGGGGACTGCAGGGAACCAGGCCAGGCAGAGCTGCATTTCCAACCTGCAAGTGGGAAGCCTCGGGAAGCCCGGTAGGGACAGTGCCTAAGGGGCAGATCAGCACCCACTCCTGTCTCAGCCCAGCATTCCTCAGGCCCCTACTCCCCACTCCAGTGCCTGTCCCACCTGTCCTCCCTGACACCTGGATATTACAGTCCTCTGGCGCAGGACAACAGGGAGAGGATAGGTCTTTCTAGCACCACTTCCTAAAAGTAGAAGAGCTCTAAAAACAGAGGGTGCCAGCTGTGGTGGTGCATGCCTGGACTCCCAGGACTCGGGAGGCTGAGGCAGGAGGATCGTGAGAGCTTGTGGCCAGCCTGGGCTACATAGTGAGTTCAAGGGCGGCCTAAATTACATAGCAGGATCCTGTTTTTAAAACAAAACAAAACAAAACAAAAAAAAAAAAACGGATAAGTCTGGGCCACGGACATAGCTCAGTGGCATACGCACGTGCCTGGCAAGCATAAGGTCCTGAGTTCGATTCCCAGTACCGGAAAAAAAAAAAAATGGGGAAGTCACCCACTTCTACTTCCCAGGGTCACTCCCCACCGGGATGTCTTCTTTCAGCTAGGGACAAGGACATCCGGACAGGGTGATCTGCAGGTCCTGCCCTCTCCTATCTGACACGCAGCATCAAAGGTCTTCACAAGGGGCTGGACTGAAAGGTAGGGAAGGCACAGCCTTGACAATACCCCCTGCCAGGCAAGGGCACCATCACACCCAACAGATGGGGATACTGAGGCCCAGAGCCTCGCGTAAGACTGGCGCCTCGGACAGACAGCCTCACCTCAGCCAGTCAAAGCAGACAGGAAGAGGAACTTCAGGACCCCGACGCGGGGCCAAATTCCCCCACTCCAGGGAGTCCAAGACCCCCGCGGCAAGCATGGTTAAGCTTTCCAGGGGTGGCCGCTCCATCTCCAGGGGCTGGCACGGTCACCTGGTGCCAACCACGTCCCCTCCTCCCCTGTCACCCCAGCGCCCACGTCCCCTGGCTCCAAGAGCAAGCTCGAAAGTGTTTCTGAACCTTTCCAGCCCCGCCCCCTCACCCTGACTCAGGGGCCAAAGATCAAGGAGGAAGTGTGGAGGGGGGCGGGGAAACAACCCAATGAAAGAGCCTCCCCAGAACGAAGCCCGCGCCCCTCTTCATGCAGTACCCCCCTCCCGCCAGTGTGGTCAGGAAGGAGGGTGCATTTGGACTTGGAGCCTGACGAGGGTGGGGGACACAAGGTTGATGAGGGGGCCAAACGGGCCTTCCCCAGACCTGGGCGGGGCGCCCAGCGCTTCTAGGAGGACCGGGTCCTACCCCAAAGCTTGTTGGAAACACCCAGTTCCAGCCGCCACCCCCTCTGAAAGTGTAATGGTAACCAGATGAATGAGTCCAGCACGGGGCGGGGGGGCTCCTAAGCGTCCTCAGGGGACAGGGCATTTCCAGAAGGCCACCCTCCCCGCCCCGGCGACACCTCCCCCTTCCTTCGGCTTCCCCAGAACTCAGCCAACCCCACCCTCCATTAGAGAAACCTGCTTTGAAAAGTTAGCTCTTTGTTCTGCAAGCCGGGTCTGCAAGCGGAGCAC